GCGGGCTGAAGGCAGCTCCCGGGGCCGTGCACCCCCCTGCTCCCCGCCCAGGAATCTGCCCCAGGGGCGCGGGCTCAGACCTGTACGGTCGGGCCTCAGGCTGAGGGGAGACCCATCGGGCCGGTCTGCGGGAGTCCCCGTCTGGTGCGCTGCGAACAGCTTCGCCTTTGTCCGGCACCTTCTTCATTGCCCGCGAGCGGTGCTTGTTTGAAACCCTGCGCGCGGAATCCCTTCGGGGGGGCTGGGGCCCTTGTCTGGGGCACGGCCTGTGTTGTCTCATGGGTAGCTTTTCCCATGTTTCGTGGTGCTAGATATGTAGGAAATGGTAAAGAAGCTTGTTGCGCTGTAGCAGCGCTCCCCCATCCCCCAGTGATGCACAGGCAGAACTAACAAGGCGACAGAAGCTCTTATAAATCCCTGACTTCGCTTGCTTCTGTAGAAAGACTGTTCAAGAGAAAAATGACTATGGCTAAAGTTTCTCTTTTTTTAAAACAAAAGAAAAAAAGCTAGATTGAATAAAGTATTCCTCTTTATATAAGTCACCCGATAGTTTATTTTTCTCCTCACTGTTGTATGTGTTACACTGTTATCATACCCATTGCCCTAGGATTTGTTTTTGCCAAACTATATTTTTTCTACTCTAAATTTTTCCTTTCAGATCAGTCCCTCTTCCCACTCTTTGTTGCCTTTTCTTCTGCATTCTTTTTGGATTTTAATAATCTCTCTGCTCATGTGGAATGTACCATATGCTTCCATGATGCAATAAGCATAGTTGTGCAAAAAGAACACATTTTTCGTCTAATGCAGGGTTGGGGAACCTCAGGCCTGGGGGGCTGGATGCAGCCCCCAGCTTGCTTGGATCTAGCCCTTGAAGCCCAGGTTACCCTCCCCAGATTTGGAAAGCCCACAGCAGGGCTGGAGCACACAAAATCTACTAGACTCCCCCCTCCGCCCCTTCCTCCGGCTGATGTGGGAGAGGAATGTGAGGAGTGTCTCTCCTCAGTCGGCAGCATCAGTAGGGATGTTAAATTGTGTTTAATCATCTGGAATGTGAGGAGTGTCTCTCCTCAGTCGGCAGCATCAGTAGGGATGTTAAATTGTGTTTAATCATCTGATCGATTAGTTGATGGAATTTCCATCAAGTAGTCAATAAGCAGGGGGAAACTGTAGAGCCACGGTGGGGTTAGCTCCCGAGGCTGGGAGCTAACTCCGCTGCACTTCTGCCTTTAGGCTGAAGCGCAGCAGCGGGACTGGGCACAAGCTGGGACAACTGATTTCCCCCCTACCTCACCCTCCGCCCCATGCTTCTGCTTTTAAAATGCATTTAAATTAAGTCCCCCTCCCGCTACACCTCTGCCTTCCCTGCTCTCCCGCCTCGCCTCTCCCCCCGAGACGGTGCTGGGGGGGAACTGGCTTTTAAGCTGGCTCCTTCCAACACAAGCTCCTGCTTCTCCCCCCCACACACACACACCTTGCTGCCTCTGATAGAGGTAGCAAGGACGAGAAGTGACTAGTCAAGTCATTATTCAACTATATGATAAGCTTATGCTTCTCAGATAGTCGACTAGTCACTTACATCCATACTCATCAGTGAGGGTTTTTTTTTTCCTCACGTGTGTGGGGCTCCTGACTGATTTTTCTGCGGGTCAGTGGCCCCTGACACACAAAAGGTTCCCCAGCCTTCATTTAAGGGCTTCAGTGCATTTGAGGTTAATCCCAAGTGTTGCTTTGTATGCATACAAGACTATAGGTTGCATAGAACTGTTTATTTTCTCATAAGATTCTACATAATTTTCTTCACTGATCCATATTTCAGTCCCTCAATTTCACTATGCCAGTGGCTACTGTGCTGGTATGTTGCTCTGATGTTTTGGTTTGTGTTTGCTTTGGGATTTTTATTTTAGTGCACATGCTGCTGTTTGTAAGAGAAGACAAGGTCAAAGAAGTGCATCGTGTACTTGGAACCAGAGAAGATGGGGTTATGTGATGTGCCTTAGTCCCTGTATTAATTAATTTCACAGTCTTGGGGTTAGCCGTGAAGAAGCTCTCCTACAATCTACATGGCCAGCTTTACCTTTATGTAGAGGTCTATTGTGCCTGAGAAGCAGAGTTATGAAACCTGGTCTTCATCCCCATAGCTTTAGGTGTTCTGGGCTTAAGCCTTTAAATTACTTGATAAGGAACAAGACCTTGACTTCATATTCTACTTGGTTGCAGTAGTGCAGTTTATTGACATTTGCTGTAGTTTCCTGTACTGTTTGGAGCATCCTGAGGGCTTTTGTCCAGGTATATTGCATTATTGTAGTCCAGACAGGAGTTGGCAAATATATGCATAATGGAGGCCAGGTCATTGTTTGCCAGGGTGAGGCAGGCTCTCTCCTACTTGGAGACTGTAAAAAGCATCATTTGAAAATGCTGCTGTGTAAAAAAATTAGTGTCAGTGATGTATGTAGGGGCACTGCTAAACTGCAAGTCACTCTTATCAGTTTTTGTGGCTCTACAGAATATCCAGGCTGACTTTTTACTAGGAAAATACATGGGAAATAAGAGATTTTCAAAGTTGTTGCTGGTTAAACTAATTCAAAGGTAAAAATTAACTGAATAGTAGCTTAAGTGCTAAACTTTTCAAGCCATTGGAAGGAGAGGGTGTTTGGGGGGGGGGGGGGGGAACAGACCTCAATTTGTATTAATGGCTAACAGTCAACTTGACTCTTATTGATTTTTGCAAAATAGAAAACTAGCAAACTTTGTACTGAAATCTCTTGTTTTTAATGAATGTTGAAGTGTTACTAAAGCACTAAGGGCCTGTTCCTAAGAGAAGCTAAGCACCTTTAACTCTGTGGCAAAGCTGGAGTGCTCACTCCCCTCCCTTTGCCCCCCCAGCTCCCCACACACACTGGTTAACTGAAACCAGTTAACACTCAGTCTAGAGATGTGAAAGGTTATCAGCTGGCCAGCATTTGACTTTCTCCTGGTTGGCTGTGCAGGTGTTCAGCTTACAGGGAACACTGGCTCAGACTTCTCAAAACAATTCACTGAAATCAAGTATATACATTTTGAGATTAAAAAAAAATTAAACCAGGCAAAGGATAGGTTGGGAACAAAATAGCCTGTCTGTCTTAATAACGTTACCTGCAAATGCTTTGTTATTTGTCTTTCCTTTATGAAAATTTTCCAGAATTATTCTCAATGAAAATTCAGGTATGTGACCCTATTTTTTCTCCTCTGAAGCACCAGAAAGATTCCAGTGAGAATTGGAGAGCTGAAGAGGTAGTGAAAAAAGAAGTTGCTGTTTCCATTCCATGGATCCTTTGGGTGCTCCTTCCCAGTTTGTGGATATTGATTCTCTGCCAGGCTGGAATGGCTACTGTGAAGCAGACCAACCGGACTCCCACAAAACTCCTGTTGAAAAACCCCAACTTGATGTTAGATCACCTTTCCCGTACAGGAAAGACATAAATGCAAAAATAATATTATGGTAAGTTTTTAAAACAACTCTTGCCTCTTAGATATCACAGTAATGATAGCAGTGATGACAGAGTGCCTAACAAAATGGTAATCACCACAAAATAAAGCTCTTGACATTATATGGGGTTTTTCTCTTTTCTAGCCTTGAGGTGCAGCCTTAAGTCAAAGCTGGGAGGAGAAAAAATGGTGGTGGTGGGGGGAAAGCCTAGATGAAGGCTAGGTGGGAGACCCAGGGGCTATGTCTACACAGCAGGGCTAAAGTTGAATTAAGCTATGTAACTTGAGCTTTGTCAATTGCATAGCTGAAGTCAAAGTAGCTTAACTCGACTTTTGGCGCTGTTTACACAGCAGGAAGCTGAAGGAAAACCACTCTTCCTTCAACTTCCCTTACTCCTCTTAAAATGAGGGTTACAGGAGACTGAGTAAGAAGTCCTCCAGTTTGACATTATTTTGAAATAAAGGCTGGCAGTGTAGATGCACACTGTCATTATTCTGAAATAGCACTACCGTGTAGATGTACCCAGTGAGGCCCCCGGAATCATCTAGAACAAAGTATCTGTTTACTATTTGTTACACAATGTGTATGTAGCTATATCATCAATCACCTCTGTATTTAATATAATGTAAAAACATAACTTACTCTTTATTTTCTGGCAGTTGTTTTATCTTCTGTGCTTCTTGGTTTCACCTCGCTTTGACTTATCTACATTCCTGTCGAAAAATACTGGGTATCTTTTTCTGCATTGTCCTCAGTGTCTGTTTTCGGTTGGTTTTTTTTTCTTCTGTCTGTCTCTCTCTGCCTTCATATACAGGTTGAACCTCACTAGTCTGACACCCGTGAGACCTGACCAGTGTTCAACCAGAGAATTTGCTGGACCATGAGAGGTCAATATTGTCGAGCAGCATTACCAACACTTCCACTGCTTACTGTGCTGGTAGAAGACATTTAGGGGTAAATTAGAAATAAATAACAGCACAGAACACTGAGAGCCAGGACTGGTGGCTTCAAACTTTATGGGACTGGGGAAAACTTGGCCACATCCATGATAAGTGGTCCTCTGGCTAACTAAAATTACGCCGGGCCACAAATGTTGCTGGACCAAAGTGCGCCAGACTAGACAGATTCAACCTGTACTTTCTTTACATTTACGTTCATATTCTTCTTCCAAAATGTCTGTCTTCACAGTGTTTCTATGTGCTAACTTATCCCATCTATGTCCTCTCTCCCTTGCCCACCCACTCTCACTTATCAACACCTAATTTCCAGAGAACTACACCTATCAGCAGAAGACAGGTATGAAAAGTGATGGAACCCTGAAGAGTAAAGTGAAGAGCCATCTCCCTTTCCTCAGCTATTAAGTGAGATTGAGATGGGATCTCTTGGCCTTAGTTGGCTCTTTCACGCGAGCCTCCAGATCACAGGTGTCTGGTAACATTGATGATCAGTCCTTACTCCAACCCCTTCTGGGTGCTGCACTGAAGAAGAATCATTCTCTGTGGCTTCATCCCTGCATGTTCACTGCTTATCCTGGTAGCTGTTGAAAGCATGGGTGGATGGGGTAATGTGCTCTACCCTTCCCCCTCTGAGACTCAGTTTCTTCCTTCGGTGCCTGTCTGTCATCATACTTACAGCTTTTTCTTGCAGCATCAGTGTGCAAATGAGCAGATTCTTGTCAGTTTCACAATTGCCCACAGATTTTTGAACAGTGGCAATGAAAATTCAGCTAACTCTGGTCATTTTTCATTCTACTGTAGCTGCTCAGAACACTGAAAAGCTACAAGAAGATGCACTTAAGTTGACTATGAAGACTAAGAGACAGCAGTGTATTAGTAATAGCTTATTCATCATTAGAAGGCTTTAAAATCAGAGCTCTACGGTTTCATCAGAGGCTCCTCTACTCAGAGGAACCAAGATTGGCCCACTGGATCAGATGCAGCATTTGAGAAACAGGGTGGATAAAAATTGATTTTTTTAAAAAATTCAGATTTTTTTTAATTTGTAATATTTTTTAATTTTTAATACTTAATTAGTCATTTAAAAAAATTACAATTCAATCTCATCACAAACATGCTGCACATACACTAATAGTTTCATAAAATGAATTAATGGCTGTGGTCTGTCCAGGCTAACAATCAGCTCCTGCTCCTTGAAAGTTCTGGGCTTTGAATTTCTGTTTCTCAGCAGACTAAAAAGTAGCATGTGCAAAGAAACAAACAAGCTGGATAGGATTGTTTTTGCTCTGTGTTTTTGTTCTGTGCTTACGTGCTGGTGGACTTTGGCCAAGCACGGCAGAAGAGTTAAGACATTTTCTTAAAGACCAAGAGACCATATATAAGAAAGGACAGCAGCAGCATTGAGATGAACATTGACATGGACTGGAAAGAAAAAGGAAGACATTATTTAACGGACACACAGCTTTATATATTCCCTCATACTTTTGCCACAGAAAAGCTGTCATGGTTTCTGGGTGTGAGAGAGAGACTATCTGGGAATATTTTGAAGAAATTCATTCCCTGGGTAAAAAAGGAAAATGTACCAAGTGTAAGCAGTGCAAGAAGATGATGCTGGCCCTGTTTGCAAGAATGAGACATCATAAGGAAAACTGCTTAGTAGGAGTTCCTTCTCATATACTGTATATGGTCATTAAGTCCACCTAACTCCTTTTCTTGTGAACATTCTTAACCCCAGATATAAAAGCTGTGCCCATGCCTAACTGCTGCTGATGTGGTATCTCAAAATCACTCTTATTATACGTTTCAGGGATGCAGTGAAATCATATAATCAGTAAATTACATGAAGCACATCTTTGTTGTTAAGCTCATGTATCTAACTTGCACTCAATGGCTTTGTTTCCTCAGGAAAGGAAATGTAGCATTACTGAACTGTACAGCCATAGTAAACACCAGCAATGAGTCTCTCTCAGATAAGAATCCAGTATCTGACAGCATCTTCATGCATGCTGGCCCTGACCTGAAGGATGAACTCCAGAAACTCAAAGGTAAGGACAATCCTGTTCTATAACAATGCAGCTGCCAACATGTAGCAGAAGTTTTTATTTTTGAAGTGCAAGCAAAATGCAGAAAAGACATGTGACTTTGTTTCCTTTTCCAGTTTTGAATGTGAAATATAGGGAGGAAATTTTGGCCAGACTATATGGCAGACAATTTTCCCATTTGTAATTCAGAGTAAAGACTCCCAAAAGCTCCTGGCATCCGTTCAAATTGTTGAACGTTTACTATCAGATGGACACAATCATCCCCTTGTTATCTGACACTGCTTGACATTTTGTTCTCCAAAGAGCAGTTATAAAACAGTTCTTACTGTAAAGACTGAACATGTATGAATACTGATTTTGCTGTACTATCCCTTTGTTGGGAGCTGCTCAAGGCATCTTGACCTTCACCCCAACAGAAATCCAAACCCAACAAGAATTCATGTTGAGTAGGTTCTATACACACTGCTAGCCTGCAATCATGAAACCTAATCTTTTACGAATGAATGCATAGTAACAGATAAATTGCTGCTGTCCTACATGGTAAATAGCGCCTTAGAGTGACCTCTTTGTGTCTCAGTTCATTTTTCCCTGTACTAAAACAAAAATCATTCCATAAACCAGTTTTAGTGTTGAAAGAGCCCTGGAAATTTTGCTTTTCTAGAGAGAAATCATCTTTGAAGTATGAAGTTGTCTTTATCCAGATACAGTAAACTTCCGATAATCCGGCACCTTTGGGACCCAGGGGGTGCCGGATTATCAGATTTGCCGGACTATCAGAAGGGGGGGGGCTAT